CATGCGGTATCTCAGGTGAAGCTACAGGCAAGCCTTGACTATTTGGGGACAAATTTCCTATATTCCTGTTCCATAATATTTAATAATCACAATGTTTTGAGGTTTTTATAGATATAAGTTAGACTTCTGAAAAAATAAAACAAAAATGAACAAAAAAAAAAAAACAAAACAAAATGGTAAATAGAAAATGCTAGACTTCATAAAGGAGAACAACTCTACAGAAATCTGTACCTCTGCGGGATCTTTTGAATTAGACAGTACCTGGGATTATTTTTCTTGTTATCTGCTACATTATTTAGAAAAGCGTTATACTACTGTTTCTCTTCCAAATAGACAAAGAAGGAAAAGTTAGTCTTCGACTGAGCACTTGTCCAAGATAACTGTTATGGTGTGGTTAATTTACTAAAGCACTAAACTGTGTTGGGATCTAGATTATCCTTCTTCTTGTAAATGATAAAAAGCATAGTTATAGCACAGATATAATAGGTGCCCAACAACTAATCTTAATCAAGAAATTTAGGATTCACCATTTGTCATTCTCAAAACTTTCATTGAGTTTTGTAGCGTATCTTTCTGAATGGGACTATAACTATACATATATATTATAGTCAAGAGCCAATTATCATTGCTTTTATGGTTTGGATACACTTGTCTAATTTAGATAAGGATAATAAAGAATCCATTTATTATATAATCCCAATGACGATAAAATGTCAGTCAAAGGGCAGCTTCTGTCTTAACTAAAAGGGAGCATGACCTCAAAAGCAGCCTACAAACAAAAAAAAACACCCCAGATAATGTAGTTTCAAAATTATTTACCTTCCCTACATAAAAATGTCCTAAATTTAGTTAAATTAGAACCAGAAGACAAGTGTACATGACCTTCTTTTTACCAGGGCAGACAAGAAAGGGTGTGCTCTAAGGTGGTGGCTAGTGGTGGTTTACAATTAGGTTAAAGAGGAGTAGTAGGGCATAATTTGTTGCTGTTGGATGTTCTCTGCAGAGACAAACATATATTATATTAAAGTAATTAAATCAGTTTTGGAACAGTTACGTGTCACCTAGTTCAGGCTTCAGCTTGTGCTGTTGTCTAGTTAAATGTTTAGAAAAATTTATGATTTGGATATATTGGGATACTGCAGACTTATAAAACCAAGGATAAAATCAAGGTCTGCAGATACTAATAGCTATCATTTTGTGGTCTTTATAGCAGTCTCGAGATTATGCTTAAGGTTCTGTTAAATATGTGTATTTCCATGCTTTTAAATATAGAGAAGTAGGCAGAAAGTTAGCAGAATTCAAGTTACTGAGACCACAACAGCACAGAGTGGAGCACTGACTGCAAAATACACTAATGGAGTATCTTTTCAAGTAGGTATATAATACAAGTTAGGTCTTTCTTATAGTATATATTATACTTTGTGAAAGTAAACATCAGTAATTTCATTTCACTGGTGGATTATGCATATCTACAAAACTAAAGATCAGTGAGGAGGGATAATGGATATGTTCGGTTTGTATTTAAGGCTACAGCTGGGCTTACATTTAAGGACAGGAGTAGGAACAAAGAGAACTGGGAAAGCAGAACTCGCATTATTCGTGGATCTTCTAACCCTCGGAAACAAAGAGGAAGAAGGAGTGATGAAAAGAGCTGATAATTATACTAAAATCTGATAAAAATATAAATCATGCAGTTCAGACTCAGGCTATGACCAAAGGAGGAAATTAAAACTTTATGAACTTAAATTTATAGATGCTGCATACCTCAAAAACCTAAACGGGTGATGGCACTGTGCAGATAGAATTGTTTTTCAGTTTTCAGCTACAAACTGAATTGCAACTGGTGTTGCAATTGTATCCTGGGCTGCGTCAAAAGCAGTGTGACCAGCAGCTCAGCGAGGCAATTCTCTCTACTCCACTCTGCTGAGACCCCACCTGAAGTATTGTGTTCAGCTCCGTGGCCCTCAGCATAAGAAAGACGTGGACCTGCTCGAGTGGGTCCAGAGAAGGGCCACAAAGATAATCAGGGGGCTGGAGCACCTCCAGTACGATGACAGGCTGCGAGAGTTAGTGTTGTTTAGCTCAGAGAAGAGAAGGCTCTGGGGAGACCTTATAGCAGCCTTCCAGCACTTAAAGGAAAGATGGGGAGGGACTCTTGATCAGGGAGTGTAGTGATAGGATGAGGGGTAACAGTTTTAAACCATAAAAAAGAGGGTAGACTTAGACTAGATCTAAGGAAGAAATTTTTCACAATAAGGGTGGTGAAACCCTGGCACAGGTTGCCCAGAGAGGTGGTAGATGCCCCATCCCTGGAAACATTCAAGGTCAGGCTGGACGGGGCTCTGAGCAACCTGATCTAGTAGAAGGTGTCCCTGCCCATGGCAGGGGGGTTGGAACTAAATGATCTGGAAGGGCCCTTCCAACCCAAACCATTCTGGGATTCTATGATTCTGACTTGACTCTGTTGCCCTGCTCCAGGGCTGGAGAGGTGGCCTCACGCTGCAGCCTGGCTTGCCACCTTCCCTGTCCCCAGGGTGAACAGAGGATTTACACTTCTCTGACTAAGGATTTTAGTTTTGGCTGTGGTCTGCAGCCTCTTGAGAGTCAAGTTGTTGCAATTATCGCCTGCCCACTTCTTCCCAAGCAGGAAAACTTAATCCAGTTTAGGCTCTCTCTACTGTCTTACCCCAAAAAAAGGAAATACACCAGTGTCAGGGAGGAGATAGGGCATTAGGAGTAGGAGCTGAAGGGAGGAGAGGATTCTGCTGGCACTCACTGAGATCAGCTCATTACAGCCCTGCAGCTCGAGGAGACCATAGCATGGCTAAAAAGGGGTAGCATTTGCAATCCCAGAGGGTAATTCCCAAACGCCCCCGTCAGTGCACACTCAGAAAGAAAGTTGCAAAACTTGCTACTTCCTCCTTTTCCTTTTTTTTTTTTTTTTTTTTTTTTTTCTGGCCTTGCCCTGATTTTCCTGAGGGCTCTGTCCGTGCAGCTTCATGCCCCAGCCTGGCTCTTGGCCAGTGGGGTCACTACAGCAGTGGCAGGATCAGTGTCACAGGGGTCCCTGCCGGGCACCCAAATGGAATATGAAAGTCGCAGTCCCATGCCCAGCGCTTCCCCTTCTGTGGTTTCCTTGCCTTCTCCAGCTCAGCAAAACTGGGCGATCCTGACATAAATTTGCTTTGTATGATGAACTCATTTTCTCTCCTTGAAAGTTCTGGGTGAATAAAAGGAGGGCAGCAGCAGCAGGGGCCGAGCACTGTGCAGAGGACAGCCCTGCAGCCACCCCAGCTCCAGTCCCGCTCATGGTTCCCTTGGCCCCTTGGCCCCTGACCGTGAAGGTCATAGAATAGAATTATAAAATCATTTAGGTTGGAAAAGACCCTTGTCCTGGTTTCAGCTGGGATAGAGTTAATTTTCTTCATAGAAGCTAGTGTGAGGCTGTGTTTTGGATTTGGGATGAGAAAATGTTGATAATGTACTGATGTTTTCAGTTGTTGCTAAGCAGTCAAGGACAGCCCGGCTTTTCATGCTGGCCTGTCAGTGAGACGGCTGGGGGTACACAAGAAACTGGGAGAGGACACAGCCAGGGCAGCTGACCCAGGCTGGCCAAAGGGATATTCCATACCATATGATGTCATGCTCAGTATATAAAGCTGGGGAGAAGAAGGAAGGGGTTGGAGGGACGTTGGGAATTATGGCATCTGCCTTCCCAAGTAACCATTACCTGCTTCCCTGGAGATGGCTGGACACCTGTCTGCCCATGGGAAGTGGTGAATGAATTCCTTGTTTTGCTCTGCTTGCATGTATGGCTTTTGCTTTACCTGTTGAACTGTCTTTATCTCAACCCATGAGTTTTCTCACTTTTACTCTTCCAATTCTCTCGTCCCACTGTGGGGAGTGAGCGGGTGGCTGCGTGGGGCTTAGTTGCTGGTTGGGGTTAAACCACAACAACCCTTCAGGTCATTAAGACCAGCCATTAACCTAACACCACCAACTCCACCACTAAAACATGACACTAAGTGGCATGTCTTTTAAATACCTCCAGGGATGGCAACTCAACCACTTCCCTGGGCAGCCTGTTCCAATGCTTGACAACCCTTTCAGTGAAGAAATTTTCCCCTGATATCCAATCTAAACCTCCCCTAAACGATGCAACTTGAGGCCATTTCATCTTGTCCTATTGCAAGGACAACCTCCTTGCAGGTAGCTGTAGAAAGCGCTAAGGTCTCCCCTCAGCCTCCTTTTCTCCAGGCTAAACAGCTCCAGTTCCCTCACCTGCTTCTCCTAAGACTTGTTTTCTCTTGAATCTGAAAGTCGCAGTCCCATGCCTGGCACTTCCCCTTCTGTGGTTTCCTTGCCTTCTCCAGCTCAGCAAAACTGGGCGATCCTGACATGATTTCCCCAGTATGACATTCATTGTCTTTCCTTGAAACCCTGCACCCACCCAGCAGCCAAAGGATAAAAGGAGGGCAGCGGCAGCAGGGGCCGAGCATCGTGCAGAGGAAAGCCCTGCAGGCACCCCAGCTCCAGCTCTTCTCGTGGTTCCCTCAGCTCCTGCAGCACCATGAAGGTCCCCATAGCCGCCCTCGCCGCCCTGCTCCTCGTGGCCACCTGCTCCCTGGCTGAGCCCCACTTCGGTGACTCCAGCGTTGCTGCGTCCCCCGAGAAGCCAGGTTCGCTGTCCCTCCTGCGGAGAGAGCCCCATCCCCACTGACAAGACCCTTGTGTCCATGGGGAGGGCTGGGAGCAGGTGGTCACCACCAGTGCTGGGATAGGGGCTTCCAGGGGGTGTCCCCAGGGGATACAGCACAGGTGATGGCAAATCCCCTGGGAGCACTAGGCAGAGCCTCTGCCACAGTGTGGGCCCTCACTGGGGCTGTCTCTCTGCCCCCACAGACATCGTTCCCATCACCTGCTGCTTCAGCTACCTGCAGCACCCCATCCCGCGCAGCCTCATCGCCTCCGCCTACACCACCAGCAGCAGATGCACCCAGCCGGCAGTGATGTGAGTACCCACCGCTGCCGGGGGTCAGGGAGTCATGGCCGGGGAAGTGTCCCACATGTGTCCAAGGGTGGCCGGGAAGGGGCAGAGGGCACGGCCAGGGACACTCGGGGCGCTGCCAGTGGGACCCAGTGCAGGCATTCCGCTGCCCCGGCCGAACGCCCCAACGTTGGCTTTCTCCTGGCAGCCTGGTCACAAAGAAGAGGAGGAAGCTGTGCACAGACCCCCAGGCAGCCTGGGTGCAGGCACATCTGGAGCACTTCCAGACGCTGGAGTACTGACCCTTCCTCGCTGCCACACCAGTGCAGGGGGCTCAGCCCCCCGGCACCAGACACACAACAGGGTGCTTGAGCTGCATCCTTCTCCAACAGGAAGGTTTATTCTAATTGACATATATTTGTTAAACTAAATTTTGCTTGCTAAGAAAATGAAAATACAAAAATTATTTAAAAAGTATCAACATGGCTGTTAACGAGGAGTCAGGACTTTCAAAGCCTAAATAAAGTATTTGCATTACCAGATCCTTTGGGTGTCTCTGAAGTCCCTGCTGGAGCCCAGACATGTGAGAAGTGACTCACGGGGACCCCCTTGCCCTCCCCACACCCTGGTTTCACTGCTTCCCCCTGGGCAGGGCAGCCTCAGCCCCATGGCAGCTCCCACAGTGCTTCCCCCTCCCCAGTCAGGACTCAGCTCCTGCCCCCCAGCATGACCCACATGTCCCTGTGGGGTGACACCGGCATCTCGCCCAGGGGTTGCCTGTTCCTCGGGGCTCTCCCCACACAGCATGTGTGCAGCCAAGTCACAACCCCCTGGGCCGGGCAGCCCCACAGGGCAACCGCCGCCAGCTCAGTGACGTTTGCCTCAAACACTGGAGGATCAGGGCGGTCTTCAATCACAACAATGTCCCCACGCCCAGCCAACTCCTTCACTACAGCCCCTTGTGGTGATGGAGCTGAAGTCCAAGCATTGCAGGGTGCTGTGGCCTCTCAGTTCACTGTCCCACGGCACTGCCCGAGAAGCAGGCAGGAGCCTCATGTGCACCTCCTCCCCCAAAATGAAGTGTCAGGCCCCCAAGGAGGAAGGTGAGTGCAGAATAACTCCCTGGGCACCTGCCAGAGGGGATTTTGGCCAGTTCCCAGCTGTGCAAGCAGAGGCCCCTTGTGCCGTGGGAACGTGCTCTGCCCTCTCCTCCATCCCGCTCCTGGTGTTACCCCTACCAGCACCCTGGTGCGGTGCTGGGGGTGACGGTGCCGCTGTCCCCCAGCAGCGTGTGGGCAGGCCGACTGTGACCCAAGGTCACTGGGCAGTTGTTGTGCTGGCATGACCGGCTCTGCATCCATGAGAACTTCCTGGTGAGTCCCCAGGGCTCGACACCCTCCGGTCCCCAGCCCTGCATCGCCAACACCCCCAGCACACACCTTCCTCTCCCCTCTTGCAGTACCACACCAGCAGGCTGAGCCAGAGAGGGGATGATGAAGAGGGTTTATATGGCTTCCTCTTCCCTGACATCCAGCAGGAGCTGAAGTGGGTGGCACAGAAGGTGAGGCCGGGAGGGAACGTGTTCCCACCATGGTCCTCATGCCCTGTGGCCGGCACTACACAGGCCAGCAACCCCCAACGGATGCTCTGGCAGTTGTCTACAAGTAACTCACCAGGTCCTCATTTATCCAAAAAGGCTCATTTCTGCAGAAACTGGGGATTTTGAGAGGGTACCTGGCTCTATCAGTGGCCGGTATCACTGTACAGGTGGCCCAGCGAAATGTCACAGGGCTGGGCAAGGGCTAACCGGGCTCCCCAGTGGGGTACGGCGCTGACACTGGCTGTCTCTGTGCCATCCCCAGAGGAGGCCGAGTGAGGGCATATTTGGACAAAGCCAGCAGCACCCTTGCAAACCCTCCACGCTTATCCTACGCTCCCCGCATCTTGGCTGGCTAGGCTCAGCCTGCAGACCATATTGCTGGGATAGATGGGGATGAGAAAGGCCACAACTGCTCTCATTTCCAGAGCTCAGTAACAGAGTATTTGAAATGCTGGGAAGTTTCTATCACTTGCACAAAATTTCAGATGTATATAGAACATGTGAAGGGGCAAATTCAGTGGTGAATGGGTTTTGGTAAACCTGAAGCCAGAAGCAGCTGGTCCAGCTCTTACACTGAATCTTAAAGGAAAAGATCTCCCAACACTGTACACAGAACAATGCTATTTAAATCATGTTCAAACCTCTGAACACAGAATCATAGAATAGTTTGGGTTGGAAGGGACCTTTAAAGGTCATCTAGTCCACCCGCCTGCAATGGGCAGGGACATCTTCAACTAGATCAGGTAAGCATAACTAGATGAGGAAACATAAGCTTCAAAGACCTCCTCTCTTATTCTACCAGGAACACTGCACTGCTCCATGAGTGCCACTAGACTTCCTTCTGTCTTTCTTTTAACTAAGACTTTCTCTGATCTTTTTACTGCTTTGTAATGACATCCTCATTCCAAATTTCTCTAATTTTGTTTTCCAAGTGAGCAGAGGGAAGACAGACTTCTGGGTGTGATCCACATCACGTTTTGTTAACATTTCTTTTTTTAATAAGGACAATAAAGAATGAATACACAAAAAGCAGTGGTCCATCAACTCAGCAACAACCCTCTGGGACAATGCAAACAGTGAAGTCCACAATAGTTTAACACTTCCACTGCTTATCTCAGTTTAGACACAGTTCCAGGGATTAAGCTGAGCTACTTTTCAACTGTGCTAGGGAAAAATGAAGGGGGAATTTGACCCAGAGTACACAGGAAAGGGAAACAATGGGGTTGATTTCCCATTACCTCCCATAAACCTTATTCCCATTACCTTACCATAAAGCTATGCAAAACTACACTCAACACACCTGTAAGAATTTATATAGCATGGAGGTCTAATTTATTTGCAGAGAGCCTGAAAACTCAATCAATACTTCAAATTACAGGCAAGATGAAACCACCTGTTCTAAAATGACTCAACAATGCATATGTATACTGTAATAATGAGACTAAAACAAGTTTTAAATCTTAACATTGATGTGAAGAGCTCTGCAAGATTTGGGTAAGACTGATGGGCTTCTTTTCCCGTCATAATTTCGCTATACTTCAATGCTCACTTCAGCTGCATCTTCAATGCAATAGATACTGTAATACTTTTGCCCGCTTCTGCAATTTAGTCTGACAGCAACAGCTTCTAAGTTTGTATGACTGAGGATCTCTGCACTGACTCGGGAAAACACGGACGAGAAAAGACAAGATGTTGATACTGCTGACAAGGCAAAAATGAGAGTCCAGTAAAAATCCTCCCCAGGGCATGGTTTTCAGAAATCTCATTATAGTTTAGCCAATCTATTTGTTTTCATAGGACTGATTTATAATGCATGAAGATTTGATGTTGAGAGTACTACAAAGTTACGCTTTAATTTGCTCAAGGTCACGCATGAGATGTGAGGTGAATTTATAAAGCAAACCTTTGCCGCCACCACCAGCTGGGCTCAGGAAAGTAATCCCACCACTACCTTGCTAAATAACCTCAACACAAATGCTCAACTATGCCAAAGACCCCTTACTACACAACCTTTGCGGTATGCAGAAGAGGATTCATCAAGAGAAAGAATAGCTTTCTTCACCGCCTGCCCCTCCGAAACAACCACATGGAGTGTGCTCTGCATCTCCTGCACTACTTTCATAGCAGCTCAGTTTTAGCGGATTTTTTTAAAACCAGGGAGGATATATACCAACCCTGAATTAAAATATCAGGCATTTTTGTGGCATCATAGTTTGTTTTTTTTAATACAGCTTGACATAATCCCCTGCAAAGATTTCACATTGCTTATGGCACTTCTTGGCTGCCTACCTGAGGAGGAAGCACTGCGAAGGGAGGTCGGTGCCATGCAGGGCCCTCCCTGCCCCAGAGCTGCACTCAGCACACGCCACCAACCTCAGGGCCATTCCCATAGTCCACGCCTCGCTAACAACCCCATCTTCTCGCTATTACATTTTGCACAGTCCTCCTTCTCCCCACACCGTCAAACCCTATGTGCTGTCCTGGGCAGAGGTGCCCTCCACTACCCCCTCCAAGGCAGGACAGAGTCCTTCTTCCCCCCACATTCCTGTCTTCCCCCAAGATCCTGTTCCTGCCTTGCGCCCTTCCTGAGCTGCCTCTTCTTTTTCCGTACACTCTTGAACCCTGTGGCAATATCTGAAAACTTTGTTCGATCAAAGGGGTGGTGTTTAACCCATCGTGTCTCCGCTTCCTCACATAGCTGGTAGCAGTGCCTCACTGAGGGGCACAGAGGGTGCAGAAGAGCGTGCGCTGTAGTTACTGCAGGCCGCGAAAAAAAAAACAAAAAACCAAAGCAAAACCACAAACCCTGCCACATTGTTTGTTTTGTGAAGCAAACACTCAGGAGAATGACACCACGCCACTTGAAGAGCCCAAACCAAATTCTCCTCACGCTACCGAGACCCCAAACTAGTCACTAGGTTTTCTACCGAAACCGGATTTTCAGCCTCTTTTTCTACACACACAAACTTTTCACCCGCAGAGGAACGCGCGGAACCTTCACCTCCGCAGCCGCCCGCTCGGGGACCTGAGGGCGGGACGCCGCACGGCATCCCGGGACTTGTAGTTCTCCGGCCAGCGCGACATGGCGGTGCTGCGGGCGCTGGCGGCTCTCGGTGCCGCGCTCCTCCTTGCCGTGGGTGCCCAGGCCAGCAAGTACTCCCGGGAGGCCAACGAGGGGTTGGCGGCCGGCGGCGCCAAGCGGTGGGAGGCTGGGGAGTTCCGGGTGGTAAGGCTGAACCAGGTCTGGGAGAAGGCGCAGCGGGTGAGTGAGGCGGCGCGGGAGGAGCGGGGACGATGGCGGCGCTCTGTGGGCGTGCTGCTGCAGAGCTCTGCGGGGGAAGGCCCTCGCTCCCTCAGGAGATGGGGTGCGGCGGGAGAAGCGCTGCGGGCGGTGGTTGAAGCGGGAAGTTTGCGTTTGTGGGGAAGCCGAGGCTGCGCTGCCCGGCGTCGCCTCGACAGGCCGCGGCGTGGGGCTGGGTCTCCGGTCTGCGGTGGCTTTTGTTTGGTGTTCGGGCCTGGCTGCTCCTGATGGGCAGCTCAGAGCAGGATCCGCACAGCCCCGCTCCCAGGTCTTCTCTCGGGAGGTATCTCCTTGCTATATGTACCCGTCTCATGGGAAGTGTTGACCCTTCCATGTTTAAATCCAGCAGTTAAACCTTATGCCCAGGAAGTGGAAGAGAGAGTGAAGTCCCTCTGGTACCATGGAGGGAGCATCAGAGATGGGCTCCTGCACTCTCTGGTTGAAATCTTTAGCCCTTTTGTTAAGGGGTGTGAGGCTCTCGTCCTATCTGAAGGCAGTGGCCTTAGCATGGGACAGGAGCTCATTGCACAGAAGAGTAAGAAACCCTCCGCCGTGGTGGTTATGTCACCTATGGTATTTCATTCATACCAAGTGATGTAGTCACATGCAGGAGGACCAGCCAATGGGTGTCACCATTCCCACATGAGTGCCTTAATTTTTACAGTGGTACTTGAGTTTCTCTCACTCTGAGCTAAAAAAATACTTAATTAAAGTGAAAATACAGTAAAAATACTTAATTGCAGTGGAAATATTTCATTACAGTGAAGCAGAACAGCTCCAACAGGAGGGGAGGAGGGCTTTGCACACCCATATTTATCCCCTGAGCATTGTGGAGCATGGAAGTTAAGGTCATGGCTGGTAAAGGTTCAGGCAAAGGTTCAAAAAAAGTTCTTTCAGGCAGAGGAATATAGTTAATATTAATCCTGGATTTCCTGTATCCTGGATAGACATTCCCCAGCCTGAACTATTGAATTAGAGGCAGGACATCCCTGGGTTTAGTTAAAAAATGGAACCCCTGCCATAATGCTGCCTCCCACTGGGCCAAAGAAGGTGTCAAAAGTACTTCTTCCCTCAATGGCAGAAGGATGAGATTGGGCATAGGGCAGTGTGTGGTAATGAAACTCCAGCTGTGAACTGACAGCTGAAGAAGAAACAACATGGACACTAGACATAAACTGTAATGATAGTATTGCCAGTGTCCTGTTACATCTCCAATTACAACTTTTTTTCATACCAGGGTCTTCTGGAATTCAAATTTGAGATGCTTTACATCATCTACGTTAAGTCTTGGTACTGAAGACGCTAAAATGTAAAATGGAGTTAATTCTGTCAGGGTAAAGAACTAAGCTTTAGTAACTTCTATATGTGTAAGCCAGATTTTACAGAGGCAACACCTACTTGAACTAAATTTGCCACCATCTAAATTTCACTTTTGAGTACAGTTGACACCTAGCCTGTGTTTTAGTGGTTTTTCACTATGTCTGGGCAAGGTCTGAAATCCGAGGAAAACTAAGCCTGTGTATTAGACCTGCTTTGAAATATTTGTGTGTGCCAATGCTGAACTCTGTCCTTCATTTTGGTAGTGGTAGAGATAGTACTGAAAATAAGGAACTCCTTTGTTTTTACATAAAAGATCGATACCGCAATTGAGCATTGCAACACACAGCTGGATGAGTAGTGCTTCAGAAAGCCCAAAAACGTTACTTAGTGGGAGCCAGGAGCTGGCAAGCCAGAATTCATTCCTGTTTCCCTGAGGGAGGGAGGATTTGATCCTTCTGCAGCATCTCAGTTCATAGGTATATGTTTTATGTAAAAATTTTAAAAAGTAATTTTTGATACAAGAGTTCTTTTTAGTGAGACCCTAACTCTGTAGTTATTTGAACCAAGTGAAAATTAGATTTCATAAGGTATGTGGTTTGTCCTGCTAGTCTCTATCAATCCACTGTGCTGTGGTTGTTGCTATTTGTGTAGTTCTAGCCCACATCGGGGCTTCCTGGCCATCCCAAAGCAACTAGTGGGCTGCAGGATTTAGGGCATGTTACACCTGAAAAATCTGTAGTAAAGAACCCTTTTGTCTCAGAAGCAAGGGTGTAGATAATAATATTGCAGGTAATGATTGTAGTCAGACAAACAGCAAATGACTTAATTGTTGTAATGTTTCACAGATTTCCAGTGCTCATTCCCAGAATTGCCAGGTACCTATCTTGGATATTAATGTCCAGAGCATAAGGAATAAGCATAAGGAACTTGGTGCTTTTTTATTTAATCATTAAACTTAGCTTTCTTTTCATCGCTGCTTCTGGTTAGTAAAGCGATGTGGAGTCTTATCTGTTGACATTTTTACCTGGTGTCATTTGGGGTCCTACATGAAAGGATCTTGAAGGAAGCAGTTCTTGAACTATATGCTTTAAATTAGCCAATGTATTCACTTTTGTGTTATATAAATAGGACAGGCAAGGGTCTTCCAACAGGTTTCAAAGGATTTATAATGTTTAAAAGGACAATTACTTGAGTTTCTTACCAAATTATAATGAGAATCAGAAAAGTATACCAGAAATTGGGAGAAATTTTAATAGAATCTTTCTTTTTCAATAAGCTTAATGTACTTCCTTTTTTTTTTATTAAGAGTTTAAAATGTTTGATTGATGATGAGATGTCTCCAAACTTTATGTTTGGAAGTTCTGATATTCTTCTCTGGAACTTTTAGACAACATAAAACAGTGCATGTTCATGAGATTGCACTAGCTGCAGAGAGTATCTAACATAAAATGCATTGTGTAATCTTTTACACAATAGTGTGTCTCTGATGATAAAGTCATACATTTAAAAGATTATATTTTCCTATTTTTGCAGTAGGAGCTGAATTAATTGTTATCTAAGTTACTGCCGTTGATCTTTTTTCCTGGATTGCTCAGCCTAACAACATATTAAGTCCACACTACTTCAATGCTGACATTAGAGTGCAAAAATACTGAGATTATCAGTCATTTCCTTCACAATTTATAGCAAACTTTTTCACTCAATCTTCCTCCTGAAGCATCAGGATGCAATTCTTGCTGAGCAAAGCATTGTTACTTGGTGCCACTGCAGCAATGACACCAGCTTTCTGGGTCATCCTGTTCCAGAAAAGCAAGTAAGTACGTGATTAAGGTTTTTTTGACTTCAGCACATACTAAAAATCATAAATAAAGTGATTCCTTCCAAGTGCTTATCTTCTATCGAACAGTTCCCCAAAAGTAGATTGTAAAGAAGACAGTAGGGATGCTCCTTTGCTTTAGTATTAGATGACTCAGGAGTTTTAATGTGTTCTGTAAATTTTATATTTGCCTGTGATTCTAACTACTCTAGATTTTAGTAAATCATTTCAGTAAGCCAAGTGCCAGACACAGAAGAAAAACTTAATTTAAAAATTAACAATAATTATATTCAGAAGCACAAGACTAATTAATAGGACAGCAGAAACAATAATGCACATAGGATCCTGAATTCCTGTCAATAGGAATTTAGTGCATTAGCACAAAATAATGACATTTTTCCTAATTATTTTCAAATAACATGCTGACACTCAAATGAATTTCTGAATTACCTCCAGTAAATAAGTTTGTCCTAGGACACATGAGCCCAGCTGGTTCAGAGCTGGATGTGAGCTTCCAGGAGCTGGCTACTCAGTGGTCAGAGGTAGAAGGACGCAAACTGCTCAGGCAGAATTGTATTGGAATTCACACTGGTGACATGTTTTTTGATCCTTCTCTCTCTTCTTTGGGCTTTTACTTGCCTCACCTGCTTGTTATTAACATGTGCGCATGCGCGCGTGCATGCACATACACACACACCCCCCAGAAGTTCTGAAGCATTGATATGATTTGTTACATTTCTTTGTTCTAAACTGAATAACTAAAGTGTCCAAAATCTGGAAGTTCAAAAGTTTAGGCTCATCCTACAGCAGTGCTGCTTAGCCAACTGCATATTACTCATTGTCTCTGTTCGTGTTTTCTCTGTATTTCACAAAATTTCAAGCTGACCTACCATTCTTTTAAATCTTAATTTTTTTTTCACAGCTTCAGCCTCCATATCTTTTCTCTGTGTTCTCTTATGTGTGACAGGAATGTGTCTAGATTTTGCATGTTTTTAATGCACATAAACCATATTAAGAAGTGGTCTTAGAAAATTTTGCACGTTGACCATAGTAAAAGTTGCTGATAAGTGGCTCTTTTTGACATGCAAGGCCATCCTCAGTGTCCTGGTAGTCTGCAAAACCATACTGACAAATAAAATTTACTAACTCACTGTAACTATGTGGTTAGAAGGTGGTCTGCAAGAAATTTCACACGTGGTGGCAATGGCATGTTGTTTGGGAAGTTTGGTCCTTACTGCCTTTTGTGAACTAGTGAAACTGAATAGATTTAAATAATATTTTTCTTTACATTCTTTGTTGTTGGTACCGGACATTTTTAAAGTAGAATCATTTTTGGTAGAATCATAGAATGGTGTGGGTTGGAAAGGACTTTTAAAGGTCATCTAGTCCACCCCCCCCTGCAGTGAGCAGGGACATCTTCAACTAGATAAGGTTGCTCAGAGCCCCGTCCAACCTGACCTGGAATGTTTCCAGGGATGGGGCATCTACCACCTCTCTGGGCAACCTGGGCCAGTGTTTCACCACCTTCATTGTGAAAAATTTCTTCCTTAGATCTAGCCTAAACCTGCCCTCTTTTAGTTTAAAACCATTACCCCTTGTCCTATCACTACAGGCCCTGCAAGAAAGTCTGTCCCCCCATTAAAAGCCCCCGTTTAAGTACTGAAAGGCTGCAATAAGGTCTCCCCAAAGCCTTCTCCTCTCCAGGATGAAGCAGCCCAACTCTCTCAGCCTGTCCTCACAGGAGAGGTGTTCCATCGCTCTGATCATTTTTGTGGCCTCCTCTGGACCTGCTCCAACAGGTCCATGTCTTTCCTGTGCTGAGGGCTCCAGAGCTGGACGCAGCACTGCAGGGGGGGTCTCACCAGAGTGGAGTAGAGGGGCAGAATCCACTCCCTCGCCCTGCTGGCCACACGGCTTTGGATGCAGCCCAGGATACTGTTGGCCTTTTAGGCTGTGAGCAAACATTGCTGGCTCCTGTCCAGCTTTTCGTTGACCAGTACCCCCACGTCCTTCTTGGAAGGGCTGCTCTCAATCCCTTCATCCCCCAGCCTGTACTGATACCAGGGGTTGCCTTGACCCAGGTGCCGGACCCTGCATTTGGCCTTGTTGAACCTTATTAGGTTCACACAGGCCCATTCCTCAAGCTTGTTCAGGTCCCTCTGGATGGCATCCTGTCCCTCAGGCGTGTCAACCGCACCACTCTGCTTTAGAAAGCCGTCCTGTAAAAGCAGGGAAAAAATGCCATTTAAATATTACTCGAAGGAACACCCAGGAAAGACACAAATTTTTAACCCTTACGTAATTTCACTGTTGTCCAAGTAGCTGAAGAGCTGAGAGAGAAGGCTGTGTTCATAGGCAGTGGCTCATACCTTAAGGCCCTTAAATTCAGATGGATACATAGCATTAAAGAAACAAATGCTGTGCTATACTGGCTTCTGAGGTAGCATTGTAGTAAGAGGTGACTCCACATAACTGAATACAAATCTTTCTCTGTTCTTATTAGCTTCATCTCTCTGCTGTGAAACTGGCAGAGTTGCACAGTGATCTAAAAATACAGGAAAAGGATGAGCTAAGCTGGAAAAAGCTGAAGGCTGAAGGGCTAGATGAAGATGGAGAGAAAGAAGCCAAACTTAGACGCAACTTAAATGGTAAGATATATCTCTGCAGAAGAGGTTTAGACTTTGCATTAGACACGTACACAGTTAGACACCTGTGTTTGTGTTTGAGTCATTAAATAACAGGTTGTCTTTCAAGACACTGAGCCCACACAGTTCTTTGGAGGTCAGTTGGGAGCTGCAGGAGGCTAACAGCTTCTTTTGCTCCTGATGTTTTCAGAAGAGGTCATTAAACCTGGGACCGCTGTGTCTTAAGCTGTTAGACTATGCACTGTGAGCTGCAAAATGCAGCGCTGCACATCAAGGATATAGCCAATCTCTCATGTTCCATACATCCGTGGTTCTAATGTTTCTGTATCTTCTATTTTCCTGCAGTCATTATGACTAAATATGGAATGAATGGAAAGAAGGACTCTCAATTAGTTGATACCAACTACATTAAAGACGGTACAGAAAGTGATACACTAGATGATCCAAGACTGGAAAAATTATGGAGCAAGGTGGGTAAGATTTCCAGGAACTGCAGTATAGGAAATCAGTATTTCTTCATTGAACTACAGTCTCTGTCTTCTGAGACTTGAAATTGAATGGCTTTACTACTCCATTTTTAAGTACTGACCAAGCTGCTGTGCTCTGTAGCTCACATAATTGTGCCCTGAGGACATCCCACCTGCATCCAGGTAACTATGTGTGGCAGACTCTCTTTGCCAAAGAAAACACACGCATCAGTTTGTGTGGAGGGCAAGATCCTGAGTCCACTGAGGACAGAGTTTTTCCTCAAATTTCCTTTTGTGTGACTATTAGGCTGTGTGGTGGAATACCTTTGCTGTTTTTCCTGGTTTTCTTATTGCTGTTTTTCCTGGTTTTCTTATTGCTGTTTCTAGGCTTTTTTAAAAAGATGCATTTAAAATAGAACCATTTCATAGAATGTTTCTAAATAAAATATATAGTGTGCAGTGTTAAATAAGGACTTTCCTAGCCTGGTATTCAAGTGTAACTTTCCAGGATTTGCATTAATGCATTAAAAAAATAGGAAGTTTACTGTTTGTTTGGGCAGTTAAAACTGGCAAAATCATCACCTACAAAAATTAAATAATTCAAGGTTTTAAAAATAAGTAGTCATGTAAAGCAAAGAATTCTTAGACCAGTCTAGTGCAGTGGTAGTAAAGCAGAGGAAAAGATTTGCTGGGTTTTAAAATGTTGCTGTAACTAGATATAGCTCTGGCAAGGGACATGATGTCATGTGCTTTGGGGAACAGTAAAGTGCATTAGATAGAAATATTCCCAAAGTAAAAAAAGGGTTGGGGCTGAATAGGTGACAGAAACATTCACTTTTGATCATGCGTTGCAGCAAATAAGTCACCAGATTTGTGGGCAGTGCTCCAACTGTCTGACCGGTGCTTCCCTAATTGGTAAAAAGTAGTCCAGTGAGGAACAAATCACTGCAGAGCCAATGCATAGCAGTGATAAAATCTTCACTTACCAGTAGACTAAAATTAGGTTAAGACTATGCTAATATCAGGCTGCATCCCTCATGCAACAGTCCCCTTACAGTTGCATATGGAACTTCATGGCCCTTATTTCTGTATGAAATGGTTTTCCAGGGAATAGAAATGACAGACACTTTTCATGGGGTATTCCAAAGCAAGTCTAGCTTTGTAAGTCTGAAGCAAACTTCATTTTGACATGATTAAATCCACCATATCTGCCAATGTCTACATCCTGCCCTCATACTAATATAAAGGGATTTAAAACAAAAGATCTTAAGGAAAAGCTGGACTTAATAATTTTATAAATGTGTTGGGAAGTGGGATGAAATTTTGGCAGCTGAGTGCACTTAAAAGCACTTGGCCTGGGAAGCATAATGAGCCCATGTTTCTTTCAGGCCAAAACGTCTGGGAAGTTCTCTGATGAGGAGTTGGATAAGCTTTGGCGAGAATTTCAGCATCACAAAGAAAAAATCCGTGAATACAATATTCTGCTGGAGACTGTGAGCAGGACAGAAGGTGCCTGAACGTTTCTCTGATGTTCCAAGATCAGTACAACTCTTTTCTCTGCCCATTGTTTCCAAGTTTCTTTGAAATTCCTGAAGTCTGACATTTCTGTCAGAACTGCTTGCAGATGCTGACATTTCCAGCTACTTGCTGGGTTTAGTTCTGCATTAGCTGCCAAAAATCTTGCCAGCTGGTGAAAATGTTGCCATTTCAGTTTTCTGATTCTGCCTGTGTTTCAAGCAGGGAAGATACTATCAGATTAGCAATGATGATACTGGAAATTATGCAGCACCCATAGATCCACTGCTGCAAAATGTGGTCCTAAAGTCTGCAGAACATGCATGTTTTATCTCACCAGCTGGGAGCCCGAGGGGATGTACTTGAATATCTTAGGCACTGAGCCTGGTGTATACTAAAGTATCAAGGATCTGAAACCAACTTGCTATACTAATCCTAGCTACAACTGTTAGAGCCAAAGTATTCTAAAGCTTATAGGCAGTTTGATGTTTGCATTGTAGAGTCCAGGCTGGAAGCTGCTGGAAGTCATTTCAACATCAGATATCCTGATTGGTTCGTGAAATGCCCAGGGAAGAGGGCACAGGACTCATCAACCATCCCTATCCCATTTCCTTGGGATATTGCTAATCTAGGACAATAAGAACATTTCCTTACTAAAATCTTGGCTGGTGGCCAGTAGGAGTTAAAAGGCATTTCTATAATATCACCCTCTAGAGCACAGAGGGGCATCAATCTTAATATTGACCTGCAAAAGGAATTACTGCTCCTTAGACTGTGATGTTGATGCTTTTACACTCAGCTCAAATTCTAAGAACTTACCATCTTTTACTCATCTCAGATTTTGGGGGATATCTGGAGCTTTTGACCTATCAGGATTTGGCCTACAATCAATAACGCTTTTCTTCTTCAACAGATATCCACAAAAATGTTATCAACCCGTCTGAAGAGAACCTGGTAAAAGAGGAAATCTTGCACAACAAACACAGAGAACTCAAAGACAAGCTAAGAAGCATCAATCAGGGGTTTGAGCGTTTGCGTAAAGTCAGTCACCAGGGATATGACACAACCAGTGGTATGATACAGTGTTTTTTCTGCTTATTTGGGATTAATTTCATTAAAAAAAAATAAAAATCAGTTGGCAAGTAATAAGATGTAGTCACAGTATCACAGTACGTGGTGTGACCACAGTGGGCTGAAGATTACAGCCAGCCTGTTCTATTTAGAAGCCAACACTAGAAGCCTAATGAAAGGATAGGGACAACATGTAAAGAGGATAGTTCTGTCTTCCATGCCCACATGAGAAGGGATATTACGCCTTCAAACCCAGGAGGGCAGGTTTGAAGTGAGACAATGTGCAGGATAAGCAATGCCATTATTCAGTTCCTTGGGGTTTTTTTGCTTTTCAAAAAAAACTTGCTACAGCAATACTACAGTTTTAAGTTAGGTACTTGGATTTTTCTCCCTTTTCATCCAAATAGACCTATTAATAATGCAGTGCTTATATATCTGTGTGTATGTATGTGAGAAAGCATGCTCATCTTGCTTAGAAGCTGAACATAAAACCATTGTGTCCAGATTTTCACTAAGTGGTATGTATTTGTTTAGAATTCGAAGAACCAAGAGTGATTGATTTGTGGGACATGGCCAAATCAGCCAATTTCACTGAGAAAGAACTTGAATCTTTTCGGGTAAGTAGAATTTCAGTTAGATATTTTATGGAAAGATATTTTCCCACATAAAGAAACACTTGATGTTACTCTGAGTGCAATCACTTCTGTATTGCTCTTCAGACACCATAAAAAAAAAAAGTCATGCTTCTTTCTTAATATTTCAAATGGAGAAACATGTATGTAACCAGTCATATGCATGGTTCTGTTATAATCAGCAAAATGAAAATTCTGAATCCTGTGAAAGCAAGTGTTGCATATTTTAAATCTTTGAAAGACCAGGCCCTGCTTGTTTGTTTCCAGTGCATGAGGTTTCCCTCTCTTACCCAGTGTCTTAATGTAATTGCTTCTTTGGGAAGCAGTGTACCCAGCAATTCCACTCTGATGCCCACCTCTTGCACTGCTAACTTTCTGTGTTGGAGCAATGTTAACTGGCCCAAAAGTACCATGATGAAGACTGGTTTTCAAGGAAATACTGTAGAAATTAATTCCTGGGGGTTCATAATGTTGAATTTTTTTTAATTATTACTATTATTTGATACAAATTGTCTTGAGAAATTAATTTTTTTTCATCTGACTCTGCCTGTTTATCAGAATAGATATTAATTGATAGCCTGGGGAAGTAACTCTTCAGGGCTTGTTCATAGAGTTAAATGTACTTTTGATATTGTCTTACCCTCCAAGACACGGCTAGGGTCACCTTGAGCTTCTTTTCTGGACAAGGTAATGATAGAGTTTTAAATTCCTGTGACGGAGATTGAAATCTGTCTCTCTTAGATATCAAAGATCCATCTTATTTCTTTTAACTCACATACAGTCTGATTCTCTTATGAAGCAAACATTTTAATTACACTGATTTCAGTAGCCCTGCTTTTAAGAGTGTCAAAGGAAAGCCTGCTGAAGTCTGCAACAAGGCTTCTGCTGTTCTCAGTGGGACATTTTGGTCAGGACTGTACAATTGCATGAGAGGTAAATTTGGCCTTCATATCTGCCACAGTGAAAAAGAAAAAACCTTCCATAAGCAAGAACATGTACCTACTTAATAATTTTACTGTTTTAGTAGAAATCTTAATTCATGCAAATCCTGTTCACCAAACCTGTCTTGTTAGTGTGAATGACATCCTAACAAAAGTAAGACAGTAAGAATCACAGTGCAACATCTGCCTATTTAAAAAGTCCGTGAAAGCAGAATTAAAGAAACATGTGCCTTGTTTGAGCAGCTCAAGTTGTGTCTTCTCCTGAGTGGCCACAGTACTAACCTTCATGAAGGTTTCATAGTGAGACACAAATGCTGCTCTGCTGGTACATCATCTGAGAGGAGCAGCTAAAATGATTTATCAGAGCAGTAGAACCCCAAGCTGAGGTTATGAATGGAGTATGTAAAACAGACTGGAATGTTCTACAGGAAAAGGAAACTATTTTCTTGTAAGAAAAGTTGACCACAAAACCAGTCTGCTTTAAAAACTAAAGAAGATCTATTAGGATGATGGATTTTTTTTTTTCCAATTTTCTTGAAATGAGAGTAATTTTGTCAGCCACCTGGACTGAAACACACTAGTGACCAAAATTAAGTGGGCTTTTTCAAACGGGGATTTCACTGCAGGGTTTGAGTTTTTCTGGATGTAGTGCATAGAACTGCTGCCATAAGTGGCATGACAGTTTGGACTGTTCATATCCTCTTCACAGAGGACATGTCTTAAGACACAGAGAAACTGAATTTACTGCCTTGAAGTAGCAGAACAGGAGCATGCTGTGGTGGGTACAGATGTTACTTATTCTTTGGTCACCCTTGCAGTGTACCAGGTTGTCTGAGGACCGTCTCTGATATGTTCCTGAACACCACAGTTAGTTTGGCCACTGTCTTTGAGGCAAACTAAGAGGGCTTTTTGTTTGTTAATTAATTCTTCCTATTTCATATTCATCATAACAGACTGCAAACCCAGAAAACATTTAAGTCTGAGAAGAAAACAACAAATCCAGGATCTGATTTTGAAAACAGGCTTCTCTTAAAAATTGTTTGTCTCTACCCCCCACCCCCCCACCCCCATCCACCATTCTCATATATAAACTTTTATTTGGTGTTCACTGCTGTCGTCCCCTAACGCCTCACAGCCATCTGTGGTGGGATGTTTTCAGCACCTGCCTTCAAAATTGGGTGTCTGGGTGGTGATGATAATGTATTGTCCAGACATTCTTAAGAAGCAGGGAACTGAAAAAGCATTCTGTGCTTGACTTAGTAAAATAGCATTAGGGATGTCTTGGCAAGAAAAGAGAGAGGAAGCCTTGGAAAGAAAATCCTGTGAAGCTGTGTGTATTTGTTGTCTTAGGAGGAGCTGAAACACTTTGAAGCAAAAATTGAAAAACACCATCACTATCAGAAACAATTAGAGATTTCACACCAGAAACTGAAGCATGTAGAGGGAACTGGAGATAAGGATCATCTGAACAGAAACAAAGAGAAATATGCCATGCTGGAAGAAAAGACAAAAGAACTAGGATATAAGGTCTGTATAAATTCAGTGTATATACATGTTGAAAGTGTAACTCAGTAGTAGAGGATATGTAGATTACCCAGTGCTGATTTTTCATGCAACTTGAATGACTTCCAGAGGGGGAGTTCCAGGCACACCTGTGCTCCATGTTTAGTACAGGATATCCATAATTGTTTTTTATAGACCTAATTCTGAAATGCCTGAAATCTCCCTGGTCTCTATCTTCCTGTTGTCACGTACACTGATAGCAGAATCTGAATATATGATATTGATAATTCATTGTCTTACTAAAATTTGTTTGATGTGTTTTGTTTTCCTGCTAGGTAAAGAAGCACTTGCAAGACTTATCCAGCAGAATCTCTCAAGGTCTTCAACACAATGAATTATAAAAATTTGTTCTCCTTCATGGGATCAATCTATTAACACAAAACAGATAATGTGTTTTTTGAACAGAATTTACCAAGGAGTCCTTCTGAAATAGTAAGGATTGAACAGAGTTGTCCTGTAAGAAATTTTTTTTTTTGTCCACTTAATTGCCAGTTTTGTATTTGCACTATCAAATTAAATGACTAGACTATAAATTTAAGTTGCACATCTTGGATCATATAAAGCTTACATCTGAATCAAGTAACAGTCTTTGAAATAAGCAGTCATGTCAAAAGGAAAAATATGTGAACCCTCAGAGGATTCCTGCTAGTAAAAAAAAAATACTAATCTGATAGTCAGGAAAGGTATTCTGATCCATGAAAGTGAGGACTGAGGTACAGGAAGTTAAAACAGAGGCCAGAAAAGTCTTATTTCAGTGCCTGGCCTAATACATTACCTACTGAAGGTAACGAAAATATTTATATTTCTACTGACTTTGAGTAGTGGCTCAGAGCTGCACTGTGTATGACTCTCTTCATGTGAGAGAGGGAGGAAGAGCAAGGAGGGAACATACATTGAGGCCAATGCACACAATTTAGTTATAGACTAACACATCTGAAGTTCCTGAATGTATGTGTACAATTATCTTGTTCATGGTTGCTTGGTTTTGTTGCACTTGGTCATTAAAAAAATCAAAACAAGATAGTGGTGAGGCTTTTTTTTTTCCTTCCCTCTCATTTAGTGAGAAGTAACCAGACCTGGCTTTTGAGCCTGTTGCTTATTCCCTTAAACTAAAGTTCACTCATGCATTAATTTTTAAGACAGGAAGGGTAGTTTTGCACCACGAGAACGTGTTTCTGTGTTCTGAATAGGCAGGAGGCTGTCTAAAGCAGCTTCTCTTTGAGCACAGATTCCAGTACAATCCCCAGTAAAGATTATGGCTTTTCCTTTCGAGACCAGATTTTTCTGTTGTGCATCACAGCTTTGGCAAACATTAGCCATCTGTGTTGAAATTTTCTATAATTGTAATAAAGCTGACCCTTTATTTCTAAGGAGTGTTTCACATGAAACCGTTCCAGGAACAAGGTTAAGGCAAAGGTCTGGTGTAGGTAAATCATTACAGCTGCTTGCTTAAGCAGCTCTGTCACTCATGCGTTGCAGTGCCGTGGTGTGCTGCACGAGGAAGCTGTCCTTGAGCCTCACTTGCCATACTGTTCCATGAGAAATACTGAAGAGATCCATTCAATCAGCCACTCTATATATTATTTATCCTGTTTCTGTATCTGTGGTGGGTTAAAAGTAGTACAATTCTGTATGTAAAGACTATTTCATAATGTGCAAGTGATCTGAATCAAAACTGTCATAGCAGTCTTACTTTGGGATTCTGAATATCTTTCTTTGAAGCAGTAAGCTTTTTTTTTTTTTTTTACTTTAACGTAAACTAAGTTATTTATATTCCAGAGAATCGGACCATCATGAGAAACACAGACTACCGTTACTATTAGCAGTCACCTTAAGAGATGGTTCAGTTCATGTAGTTCATGGTGTATGTCCCCTTTGGTTGGTAAGCCAAAAAAAGTAAACCCAAAAATAGCTAAAACCCATATATGAGAAAACTGGTTTGGTTTTTTTCCTAGATGCGACACACCATTTCTTCCCCAGACTACCACTTTAAGGGCTGTTCAGCCCTCTTTAACACAGCAGTAGCTGCATTGTCTTACATCATTATTTTTTTTCAATTTTCTGAGGTGAATGCAGATAGAAATGTATTCTGTGCCATGTGTGGAAGGTGCAGACTTCACTATGTCCTTCAGTTTTCCCTTTGGTGGAATAAGAAATAAATCCATGTACCGCAGGTCAGTTTGTTGTTTGGTGGCTGTAGCTTGGATGTGGAAGGGCCCACACCACTGGCTCCTGAGTGAAGAATTTGAGCACATGGGCTAAATACATCAGCAGAGGAAAGGAACTAAGCAAAGCACTGAGCAGTTCCTGCACAGCAATCCTAGCAATTAAAGGTGGGCAGAGTAGCTGTATGCTCTGCACAGGAGGGCATAGCAGAAAGCTGGATTTCAACTTCAGTGTGAACCTGAAATAGAGCATTTCTGAAGGATTTTGGAATAGCACAATGCGCTGGATTCACGCAACCAGGGTCAGATCAGCAGTAATAATGCTTGTCTCCCAGTGCAGAGCTGCTTCAGCACAGGCTGTGAACAGAGGCGATGGCTGTACCACACAGCCATGGCTGCTGCCTGCATCCCACCATGTCATGACAGTAATCGCGCTCAAAGGCCAGGTAGGCTCCAGCAGAGAGAATACCTGGCAAGCACTTTAAAGTACAAGAGGCTGACAAAATACATGTCACAGCAATTTACAATTGGGAATGAGTCACAGATCATCAGTGGCAAAGATTGGAGACAGGGGCCAGCACAGTCTCCTCGCTTTAGTTATTTAAGAAGATAGCTGTTAATGAGTCATCGAGCCCAAAGATTGTTCACACAAACCTAGAGGAGAAAAAATACTAAACAGCAGTGGTTGCTGCCCCTGAATCCAACTTCCCGCTGAAAGGGGCTGTAGCTAAGAGTCTGCCAACAGCATAGGGGGAGACATCGTTAATAGCCTCCATTCTTGTCAAGGTTTTTTGGGGCTTTCCCTGCTTTTTGAGATCTGGGGACAGCGCACAGTGTAGTGAGTTGTAAAGTCTGATTTCACTCTTCGTTCTGTAGTCTGCACCTCACACGCAGCAGTAGATGTACACGTTTGTTAATAATTGCGGGTTTTAAGCCTCCAAAGAATTCCTATGGCCAAAATAATGGGAGTGGGTAGTCTCTGAGACATTAAAGGTTAAAAAATAGCTTGAGTCACCACTCTTGTGTTTCTGTAGATAGCAACAAAAATTCAAAGCTGAGTAAACGGTATAAATGAAATATGTCTACAGTCCTGTGCCTAGCGAAAGGTGAATAATGGAGTTCATAGGTGGGACTGCATGGAAGAGACTTCTGAATAGGAAAGAATAACAGCTTTTAAACAGTGGCTGAACCTTCTCCTCTTCCTTAATTAGTTTTTTATCTAATCCTTTTGTAATTATTCAGAGCAATTTTTTTCAAAACACTCTGAGAAACAGTTTGAAATACAAAAGGGGGGGCAGAAGAAGGAGGAAAGAACTGCATTGTTTAGGGAAAAAAAGATGATCACAACATTTTATACAGTCTGTTGAATTCTGCCCTGAAAAAGAACCTCAATTTAAATAAACAAACATGTCAGTGATTTCATGTAGGACAGATTTTATTTATTGAACAGGTTGGGGGTAGAAATGAGGGGGAAATAAATACACAGGGCATTAAATACAACAAAAATAACCAAGTCTTTGTTAAAATAAACACTATGTCCTACATGCTGGCAGAGGAGCTAAGATCGCGTCATTCTACAAAGACGAATAAGGAACAGCCCCGACGGCAGATGTAACGAGGACTGTAACGATTTCCCCTCTCCCCTCCCAGAGGATTCTGACGCCTGACAGATCAGGCAATAGCCAGAGTATACAAATTCACCACGTAGAAATCATCTACATTTTATAAGCTGAGGTGCCATCTGAGTTTCCAGCCCCACCTCCTGGTAGTGACCCAGTTCCTGCTGGTAGGATCTCGGGATCTCGGTGTTGAGGAGCTGGTGGCAGCAGGATCCTGGACAGGGCTCTCCTGCGTGCTGTGTGTCAGGCTGCCGCTAGCCACGGTGATGCGGCTTTTGATGGGGCTTTGGCACAGAAGGTGACAGGGAGCAAGAGACAGATAAACCAGCTCAGCTTCCATGATGTGGCTGCCTCAACAGCTGATCTTGGCTGGGCATTCAGGAGGGCTTCGGAAGGGCTTCAAGCCCTGAACAGGGAGCAGAAGGCAGCTCCCAAGCTCCCAGCTCCAGAATACGAAGTGCGCAGGTCTGTACGCTGCCTGCATCCCAGCGCACGGGGTCTGCAGCTCTGCTTAAGCAGGCATCTCACCCCACTGACCCTAAAGCGAGCTGGGAGGGGCCCTAACGCATCGTATTTTCAGTTCTGCCTTTTATTCAGTAAGGGAATTTAGGTGAATTAGTGCAGTTAGTTACACCCTATGAAAGAATGTGTGTCCTCAGCCAGGATCCAGCATGCCACAGCGCCCAGAAAGCAGAGCAGTGCCCTGGGAGCCAGGCTGCTGAGAGCTGCTCCGCAGGCCCAGGATCACGCGTCGAGAGCCCAGGCAGAGCGTTCGGCTGAGGACTAATCGACAGAGGCAACGCACAGCTCACGTGCTTGGTTCACAACACGCTCATCATCCACACACCTGCCCTGTCATCGTTTGGCACTGCTTCAGGGAGGCGTTTGGGTTTCGGATCACTTTGTTTAGAACAGTGCCATTTCACACGCAAAAATGTACGAGTAAGTAGCACACAGGCAGTTCTAAAATCATATTTCATTTATTTCCGTAGCATTTAATGAGAATAGAAGAAATAAATAAAAAAGTCATGAAATAAAAGTCAATAAATAGAATAGACCATTGCTTTCGATACAAACAGACCTACCCTTGTAACAGAGAACAGGGAGCTATGAAAGACGAAGACTGCATTTTCCATATGTATTATGTTATCTAACAAACAGCTCCTAAATACCAGCATCAGCATTTCCAAATACAATACACAGTTACCGTGTATTTCAGGCCATTCACATTGCACCTGTTGGGAAGCAGGTTGTTAAATCTACAGAAAGAAAGACTACGGATTTCTTTTACTAGTATTCACAGACATAAAATGGAAGCGTTCATAAAATCTATCCAGTTGAGCCAAAATAAATTTATAAACTTTCATCCACAGTAAGTATGTCAAGTTGAGCCATATTTGGTATAGCAACAAGTGTAACCCAAATGCTTCTATCAATAGCCCTTAATGCACTTTCCTATCCAAATCTTCGTGTGTATTATCCCACCACTCAATGAAAGAGCACGCTCCAAAAGCAAAAAGAAAGCAGTACACAGGTACTAATGCTTAACATGTGAACGTAAAAACAATGGATACATTAATATAACATGTAGATATTTTGTCCCTTCACTGATGTGTTAACTTATCAGAAAGCTGCACGCATCCATTTTAATAAAACTAATCATTTTCAGTCTCAAAGGTTGTCTGTCAATAACTGGTCTACCGTAACTTAAACCTGGCGATTTCTGTAGGGCAAAGTGAGTGTTGAATCACTTCTTTGAAATAAGCCTCCTATTAAAATAAAATGCTATTTAATATTCTGCAGTTATAGTTT